CACAGGTCTTGATCAGCTGTGACTTGTCGGATGACTGGATTAAGAGCTCATGTTTGTCTACGACCCTGGTACAACATCGGCAGCTTTCTGAGCAGGGTTTTCCACACAGGCATCGGCCTTTCCAGGAGAAGATCCCTTCTGATGATGGATAGTTATGCCCTCAGGATTCTGAATGTAGTTCATTACTTTTAAAATCAAAGGAAAAGTCCAATCCCAGTATGCAAGGATCTGTAATATCTGCCACATATGCTGTGTGGTAGTAGGCGACACACCGAAACGTGATGTTTGTGGAAGTGTCCATTTTATCACCAGACGCACTCTAGAGGGTAACACATGGCGTCCAAATGAGTTCATCTTTAAACCATTTCAGCTAAATCTTTCTAAATGATGGTAACTTTGCTGTTGTATCAATCACTATATTGCAAGGAACTCCATTGTTATGTTCCATGATGAAAAGACCGTTATTGCTGTCACTCACTGCAGAAATCTGAAGCACTTTTAAAATGGGGCTTCACATTGTCTCTCAAATTCTGCCTCCCAAAATGGCCATTCGTGCATCCTTTCTGCAGAATGATCTTGTTTTCTATGCCCTGGGGTGTTCTGCAGTTTTTCCGTGTATGGCCTACAACACAGCAGTTCCAGCATTTTAGGAGTAGTTTCTTGTCACTTCTATTCCATCTTAACCAATCACAACAATCATGTCTAATATCACAACTTATATTTCTGTTGCTGGAGCTTTATGTTGTAAAACTAGTGTTATGTTAAATAAAAACACATAATAAAATTTTTAACACTGAAAAATTTATTAAATGGAGTTGTGTTAAGTCCTTGGGTGTATTTAAAATCAATTAAATTGAGAAATTTACCAAATTTTGCTGTTTTATTTTTCTAATATTAAATATTTTATCTTCTCTTTATTTTATGATTTTAGACTCTTCTCAAAATGGTGTTAAAATAAACTTTATAGTTTTCTCTGTGATTTGATGCGGGTTAAATCTGGCCTATTTCTGAAATGGCTATATCTGAAATGGCTTCTGAAATATATGAAACTTACATTTCTTGTGCTTTGATAAATTGATGTTTTTAGTAAATGACTGGTAATTCTGGAAAGTAAGCTTTCATGCCTATGTAATTTTATTGTTAGTCACTGATGATAATGTATTCACAGCAGTAAAAAAAGCCTATTGTTGCGTGCATACGGGTTCGTTACGAAATGAATGCACAAGTCCGATGAAAAATGAGCAAAAATTTATTATTATCACAAGAAATATGCTTAAATTTCGTCAAATTATCGTGCAGTATTACAATATCTCACAGTAATTATCTTTTAACTACTCAAATGTTCAATAGAACTTGATTCCAGAACAGCTAAAGTAAGCTAATCCGCGAATTCCCTACAATAAACAAGAGCAGTTTTCTAAACAACAACGAACTGAGATGTTTTCCTCCTTTTATAAGATTTTAAAAATCACGCGCAACAATTTTCTAGTACTTTCTAGAAATCAAAAAGAGATATTTATTTAATGTTTAATGCAAGCGCTCTTGTATTTTCAATTTTCCAGCTTAGCTTTCTTTTAATATTCGTCACGCGCTGCACTGCGTGGGAAATAAAACCATTTAATTTATAATTGAACTAACATTAGCTTTTTAAATAACAAATTCGTAGCACTATTATTCGTAGCACTATGTTTGTGTGTCATGCTGGCAATAGTAGTTTGCAGCTTTTACATATCTGATTTTAACATAAAATTCATTAAATATTTTGCTATTTTAAAACTAATTTTCAGGTTAGATTTAATGACTTCACTTACGAATTTAGTCATAATTAATTTATTGTCAGTTGGGGGGGGGAAAGGTAGCTAATAGGAATGTAAGCTGCCAAATACTGTAGCTGAGTGTAGTCTATTTTAAATGCATTTCAGAGGCATACTTTAAAGCATGTCTTACAAATCTGGTATTGAATAACTTATGCAATTTATTGACTATTATACTCAAAATAAAGAGAGTTACTACATGTATGAAGTTTAAAGAAAACTTCTCCTATGAATGCTTTGTTTAATATTAACTGTTTAATGTGATCAAATTTGTCGCCTGCTATTTTGATAACATTAAACAATGAGAAAAATAGGCTTCAATATAACTAGAAAAATATAAATAAGCAACTTTACGGCATTTCAGTTAAGAAAATGCAAAAGTTTGTTTTTAAACTCATCACAATGTCTTTAAAACAGAAGTTAATTTACGAATGATTTGTAATATCTCCAGAAAGTATTTGACTGCTACTCTACTCCTGATGTTAATACTTGAAAGGCATTGCTTATTAGAAGATGACTTGCAGATGTAAAATTTAAAATTAAGCAATAAAGCCCTTAGTTTGGTATAACTATTTTCAAGGAATTTTGTTTTTTCAGGGAAGAAAAATATTCTGCAGACTTTTTTTAACTTATGAAGAGGAGCAAATGTCTGATCCTCTAAAAATTGATAGAGTTATTGAATATGCACATCTAATTAAGGGTTTTTTCTTTGCCTGATTTTAATTGGTAGATTAAAATCGAAACAGCCTATTTGCAACTTAAATCCTTCTTTATGTGGCAACATTTATCTGTAACTTGGTAATTTTTATAACCCATTTAAAACTTATTTGGTGACATTACCTCTTATTTTAATATTTAAGTTTAAAAAATCTTTTCTATTATATTTTTATTATTAACCAAATTGCTGATCACAGTAACTGATGAATTTTCCATGTTTTTGTACACAGAGTAGCAGGACTTGGGCAGTTTAGTAACCATATCTGAATAGAAACATTAACTGAGATCACATTAAGCATCACCTACTGTATTAAACTTAAATTAGCTGCTATATGGTGAGAATTCTGTGCTTCCAAAATCTTAAATTTTTCTCTCTTGTTCGGTGAGTTTCTGAAATATTTCTTAGACAGTGGGCATGTTTTCGTCATTATTTTTCTAAGATTTACCAGGAATTTTATTCTTCAAAAAGGCATCAGGTCTTGCTGTGTAATTTTTTTTACAATAAGTGTTTCTGTTTGCTGAGCAAGGACATGTTGTATTTGCCTGTCAAGGCCTTGTGCATATGTACTTTATATATTTATTTTACCACATACTTTTAATGAAAATACCTAGAAAACATTTAATTACAAAGTAGAATTTTCTGTTTTTTAGTAGAAAATTCTTATATTTTGCTTTTGCACCGTTGTAGTTAAACAGTCACAGGTCAATGACTGTGTGCAGTTTGATTAAAAATGTGCATTTAATGAAAATGTAAGACACGCTTTTAAATGCTCTTCTGAAAATCATACTTGACAATCAGCCGAGCATTTAAAAATAAATTGAGATATTTTATCATAATATTCCATAATTTTTAATGAGAGAATCAATCATGTTAATTTTATCTTGGAAGTGGAATATTTAGAAAATATGATTTTTACCTTTATAAATTAACTTCATCCTATCAATCTCTTACATATAAGATAATCTTATAGACCAGGTCTATTCACCCCCTGTATAACACCTGAAACCATTCGACTTTATGAACCTGTTTTGTACTCCAATTCTTTATGATTACTTCAGCCTTATTTAGCAAATGCAAGAAACATGACTGCTAATTTATAAATGAAAATAATAATAGGGATCTTTTTTAGATAAGAATTGCAAATCAATATTTTAATACTATCTTTTTCATCTCTTTAATTATGGGTTATATAAATGCTGTTTACTAAAGCTAATAATTTCCATCTAAATTTTAATTAAAAAAAAGGTTAACACTAAAGAACCCTAATCAAAAAGGCATATGTAGAATTTTTGTATTCTTAAATTATTATTATTTCTTCCATAAATTTATATTGTGTAATTTTTCATTCATCTAGTGCTATATTAACTACAAATATATGAATTAAAATGTCTTTGTATTGCCTAACACAGTGCTCAAAAACTGAAACTGTGGGCTGAATTCCTCATTCTAAAAATAGATTTTTTTTAAACAAAATGAAAATTTATTATAAACAAATAAAAAAATAATTAAATTATAAATTTTTTGCCTTTAATATTTCTCAAAATACACAAAAATCAATAATAATAATATTGCAAAGGGAAAAAAAATCAAATTCATGTTAGTTTCATGTCTGAAAGGCCAAAGTTTGGTACTTGCAAGACATTTTTATTGGTTACATTTTTTTCAAATATATATGTAGCTAAACATTAAGTTTTCAGATTCACATTTATTTAAAATAGTTCATACTTGTTTAATTAATCATTAAGTAACTTACTTTAAAAATAAGCAAATTATGAAAACTTTAAAAAATTTCAGAGAAAGTTTTTAAGTGGAACAAAGTAAATAGTAGAAAACCTAGTATCTTTCTCTTATTTATAAAATTTTTCTTCAGTGAATAAGTGGAAATATGTATGTGTATTTGTATGTAAATAATTGTAAACTTCTTTTACTTCTTACTACAGCTTGACAAATTATGGCATTTCAATTCTGATAAAGTTTGTAACCTTAGTGAGAAATTATCTTCTTCACAGGTTTTAGGTACTGATTTTTCAGTTAAATGTATTTTCAAATAAAGCGATTATTCTTAATGCAAAAATTTGTAACTGAGCTTATTTATTTTTAGACAAACATAAATGTTAGTTAAAATCTGTGTCTTCAAATCTTTGGTTAAGATTTAAATCACTCTATAAGTTAATCCTTATATAGATTTGATGCACATTATTCATGTTCGTCTTCAATGGTAATGTAGCTAAGGTAAGCTCAGACTTCAAATAACTAAAATCTTGAAATCTTTGTAACAAATGGATAACTGAAATGTGTTCCAGTCTGCATAAAATTGCTTTGCATGGCCTGTGAGCCGTGATTTTGATACCACTGGCATAACAAGTATAATAATCTAACCAGTATGTACATAACATCTTTCTCCTCAAAATGAAACCAAGAATACTTTCATCAAAAAATTACACTCATGACGTTTTCTTATTTTGCAGCAATCCCCAAAAAGGGAACTGTTTTTTGTTTTGAGCTGAATGGAAATATTTTCAAGATTTATGGAGAGAATTTCCGATATGTGCCATATGAAAGAAGTCGATTAAAATATAAAACAAAAGCAATTGTAGATCCTTAATTTTACAAGGAAATCTGATATTGTTTATTTGTAAATACTGTATTATTATCATTTTGGTAAATAAAGTTTGAATAACTAATATCAACAGAACATTTGTAAATTGGTATGTTACTTTGTATTTGCACTGTAATTGCAGTAAAAGCCCAACTATCCTGCATCTAATTAACCCAAAATGAAATATTTTCGAATTTCAAAAACTTTTTTTATTATAAAATTAAGCAAATAAGAGACTTACTTGTAACTCTGTTTTAAAGCACAAATAGGATTAAGATTCGAATCAAACAAAAACTGTTGCCAAACAGTTGCAATTTAGTATAGTTTAATGTAAACCTGATTAAATTTCAATAAGTTGATTTAAATTTTATAAAAACTGAAGTAAGTTAACTGCTGTTTATCTGTTTCAATTGCATTTTGAAAAAAAATTGAAATTTGGGATTTATCTTCAAAGGAACAGCATGATCCTGACAGCAAGAAAAGTGTGACTTAAAATGGATGAACAATAGCTAAACAACATAAAAATTATGACATGCAATATAAGTTTTTTATATGATATGCCTGTAACTTGTAAAATTTGGTAAAGTAAATAAAGAACAATCTATTCCTTCAAATTTTTGCAGGAATGACTGGTGCAAGTTTGGCAAGATCACCACCAAGTTTCATGATTGTTAGAATTTTGCAATCGAATATAATGTTTTACTTCAGTGTTTATACCTCGAATTCCCTTTTTTCTTTCAACAAGCTTACATAATTTTAATATAGCACTTTAATATTCAAGTTAATAACAAATAAAATGACTCTTTTAATAATTTCAGACCAAGAATTTTTCTTCCATTTATTTGGCTTTTCTGCCATGAATTGCCCCTTTTATATACTTAATTATTTGAAAATTTTGTATATCCGGAGTTTGGTATTTCCTGAGCTTTCTGGATTGTTTAGCTTTTACTGTGTCATGGTATAAGATATGCTGCAAACTTCCAAGTGATATAAAGATTTAAGTGGTGAGTTATCAAATAGTTTTTGAAGTTAATTAAAGATAAATTCAAATGTTTTGTTCTATGCATTAAATCAAGGAAATTCTTTTAATTCAGAGATGCAGGCTTAAATTATTTATTTATTATTTTTTATTTTTTTTTTTTTTTTTTTTTTTTTTTCAAATCCATTTTTAAATGTGCTTCATGCATACTTTTTATATTTTTAAACTACTTTGTAAAGTATTTCTTTTCATCCTTTCTAACATCTATATAGTTACCGATTTATGTTTTATTCACTTAAAAATTAATGCATTAATTTTAACTTCCTGAATAAAAAAAATTAAGAAGCAATAAAGAAAAAAAGGTTATAAAGAGAGTTTTTAGAGCTGTTTAGAATTTTTTAAATATCGATAACAAAAATTATAAATTTCCCCCAAACCTATCTTATATATACTCATTTTTTATTTCTTCTGATCATTAATTGAACAAAGTTATATTTCTAAATGGAATACGTGGTTAAAATACAATGCAAAATTTTTGCAGTCTGAAGCCCCGTTTCCATTAGTGCATTGCAAATACGTAGCGTCATTGGTAGAAGACGGAAGACCATTAACACTATTGCATGGATTTGCATGTACGGAAGTTCGGTGGTCGATTGCATTTATTGCCACCAGATATCTCTGTATTTAACTTACAAGATTTGGACTCTTAAGGTATTTAAATTCCATGTTATTGGAAATTTTTATTTCTGCTTATGAACTGTGAAAGTAAAGTATGCTAGCAATTTTTAGATAAGTAAGATTATAATGCATATTATGAACACACTAATTGCAAGCTGAAGTAAGTTTTAAAAATTTCTTTGTGTTTCTAGAAGCCTTAAATATTAATGAAATAATATATATATATTAAAAGTAAAATGTACTGTTACTAAAAAAATAATAATAAAATAAATAAATGAATAAATAAAATAAAGTTAAATGAATTAAAAAAATACTTGGTACTTTAAAAATACAGAGCAACTGTAAAGAAAGGTTCACAATATTTACACAAAATTTGCTATGCTTGTTTACTGCTGACTTCCATGTGAGATTGTATATTTTTATATATCCAGATTTGGGGAGAAAGCAGGTAATATATAAAATTTTAACATCGATTTCTTCATTTTTAATTTTTTCGGGGTCATAGCTGGTTAATTTATTAGAAATCTCGTTTGTTTTAAAATGTGTGGTTTGTGTGGTTATATTTTATGCATAATCCATAAAATATTATTTTAATTCATATCTCTTTTTATAGAAGAAGTTATAAAAAATAAGCTTTTTCTCTTTATATATATATATATATATATGTATATATAGAGAAAACATACACACACACATTAGGTAAAGAAAATGGAAATATGTAATTAATTAATTCATGCACTTCTGCTGGAGAGGACTGAATTTAATTATTATAGTATCAAGACTGAATCAATTATTATAGTAAGTTTTTTAAAAAAATATTTAGGGCATTAATACTGTCTCATGTTAATTGGTAGTGAACGTTTAGAGCTGAAAACATCCTAAAGTCTCAGCACATGTATGTACAATGCTCAAAAAAAGAAATGGGAGACAGTTCTATATCTCCCGTTCTACTGGGCCGATTCACGAAATTCAAATTGCGTTCTTTATGTCTCGAAAGCACGACTTAGGATATATATTAGATTTATATGTAACACTATTCTAACATAGGCATTTTGACACAAAATTGGACTTTTTTTAAATAATGTACCATTTTTTTTTACATATTTCGATTCTACGACTCAAATTATGCCTAGTTACTAAATACTGTAAAATTTAGTGTGAAATTTTATGGAGAAATTCAACAGTTTATGTTGGCGCTTTTTTTCAGTTGCACCAAGAATAGTTCACTTGGCAAACTTCTTAATATATGACAACCTGTTTTCCTTCACCTTTCCATCTCGTGCGTGAGGGGAAAAAAATTATGATCACTCATTTTTTTCAGATAATGGTCTTTATATTATATTTTTAATTATAATTGTTATTATTTTTTAAGTATTTTTTTTCTTTTTCGAATTTCATTTTAATTGTTTAAGTTGCATGATTTCTTTAGAATAACAGTTTTAAAAATTTATATTTGCTCATTTGAACTGTGTAGTTTAAATCAAAGGTGCATCGGGTTTTTTTTTTTTTTTTCCCCAAATAGTTTTCTTTATACTATATTTTTAGTCATAGTTAATATTTTAGGTAATTTTTAAATTTTAGACTTTTATTTTAATTGTTAGTGTTTCATTGTCTCTTCAGATAATTATTTTAAAATTTTCTATTTATTCATTCGAACTGAGCATTTTAAAATATATTTATTAATATAAATTTTCCAGAATTTGAATTTATTTATTTGAATTGCGTTCTTTCGGAAGAATACTTTGTAACCCAGACTACGATGCATTTGAAAACTGCATATATTAAAAGAGAAAATACAGTAAAGCACAGTTAACTCGCTTTTCAATGTTCCATTCAGAAGAGATGTATATAGATAAGAGAGATGTATAAATGACATATTTGACTTAGGATGACTTGCATACATTGCTTTAAACAGTTTTATCATTGTGCCCATTGCTTTACACAATTTATCCTACATTTGGTTAGCTTATTAAAATGTTATTCATATTTTAGTCAAATATTTTATTTTTGAAATCGCAAGAATCAAATATCATAAGATTAAAAAGTTTTAAATTTAAAAAAATGCAAATATTAAATTTTACGCAAAAACTTATTTTTTTCTTCAAGCATTCTGCTTCATTCTTGCTTTTTTTTCTTCAGGCATTCTGCAAGTATATTAAAAAGCATCCAACTTTTCGAAACATCTTGGTATTTCTGACAATCATTTTAAATAAAGTTATCGCCTTCCATTTCATAAAGGCCCACAAACGGCCGAGCGGTAAAGTCGCTGAACACTGCTAGTTCACTCCGGGTTCTAATCCCGGTAAACGGGTTGGTTGCATGACCGTTTTCAAGGATTTTTTCATTGTGTACCATGTATGACAGCTGGTTTCCTTTAGAAAGTTCTTCACGAAGTATTTCGTCAGAGCCTTTATCAGTCTTTAGAGGCTAAGCATAATGAAGGTATGAGATGAAAGGAAAGACTGGTTTCATCAGAGGTTTTGGTTTATTTAATTATGGCAAAGCACTCTAGGGCTATCTGCCTAAGGGAAGGAATGCCTTCATGGAGGATTTTCTAAGGGAAACTGGCTTGTATACACGTTACACATGGGGAAAACCACGAAAATGCCCATGCAGCCAGCCTGTTCGCGGGATTCGAACCTCAGGCTGAACTACCAGAGTTCAGCGACTTTACCACTCAGCCGCTGTTTCATCAGGAGGGGGGAAAAGTGTTTAGGTGACATCCACATATATCACTGGATAAATTCCTGAATCTTCAAATAATTCGACTGAGAAATCATGGGATTCTCCGTTTATAATATGATATAATGTTCTATAATGTAATTTAAATTTATACAACCATATAGTCTAAAACCAGTCGCTGTTCACTTTAATTTACAATGATATCGTTTTTGTCTTTTCTGTTAACACAAGCTCAATTGATGGTATTTGCTGGTATACACGTCCAAGTGTTTTCTCTTTGAAACCTAAAACCTTTCAAGTATTCTGAAAGTATCTTCAAAAGCGTCCAACTTTTTGAAACATCTTGGTCTGTCTGACAGCCAAATTTCCCTGCAAATTTTGCTTACTTTTCTCCCTAATTTTCTTCTTTCCTTACAGTTATTTTCGGTGCTCATACAAAAAAATTAAAATTTTTCGATTGCTAGACTTCCACAAATTTTGCATTCTTGTCAATTTTTTTAAAATATCAATTACATGAATTGTGTTTCAGCTAAAGACAGCTTTTCATTTTCTAGTCATTTTAACTCTAAATAAAGTTTAAAGCGAAGTCCAAAGGCTAAATATTTTAATTAAAAGATTTTTTGCTAAATGACAAAGAAATAAAACAGTCCATCAGTGTTTATTCTGTAACACCGTGTAACCCGATTCTTATATCGGCTGAAACAATCTAAGTCATATTAAGGATCATGTTTCTTAATACAATCTAAAA